CTCTTCCAGCATGAGAAACTAAGGCACAGGAAGCACTGTGGGCATTTTCTTTTATCCTCCCACACTCTACAACAGTGGTTCTCAACCTGTGGGTCACAGCCCCTTTGGGGTTGCATCTCAGATGTTTCCATTACTATTCATAACAGTAACAAAATTAAAGCTATGAAGTAGCAATGAAATGATTTTCTGATTGGCCTCATCAGAACATAAGGAGCTGTACGAAAGGGTCGCAGCATTAGAAAGGTTGAGAAAGACTGCTCACAGTATTACCTCCCAATTGCATTGTTCTGGTTTGGTTGTTTTATTGGTGGTTTGTTTGTTTGTTTGTTTGTTTGTTTTTCTATCTCAGACATTTGTTTTCCCCCTCTTTGCCAACATAGGGTTAGCACAAGCCAGACACTTATCACACCTGCAGACATTGCCACACAAGGCCGCTAACCTTGCTGTCCTCTGCAGCCTCCATGATCCTCTGCCTCACATATCAATTTACCGGTTAACAGCCCCTGCACCGCATTCCTCACTTTTGTTAAACAGATGCTTTCTAGGACGTTGGACACAATACTCAGTATATGCTTTCTACGTGAATTGGACTCTTGTTCTTTCAACTTTCTTACTCCCCCCAATCTTACTAAATAATGTTTTGTTTGTTTTCTGTTAACTAATGATGGTTTCCAAGTACTTGTTGAGATTCTTTGTCGTAGATGTCTGTCAAAGACTCCTGTTTCAGTATAATGCCTTTGTGAAAGAGGATGTAATGTTGCCTCTGAGTCCCTTTGCCTGTTGTATATGATTACCTTCACTTCCCTCCAAGAGGAGGAGCCTTAAAGACTGTATTCCTATGCAGTATTTGAAAGCTAAAGGATTCTTTCAACTTGATCTTCAAAATCAACAAATACTTTAGTTAGACCCTCAGATATACTCTGGAGTCAGATTCTCTTTAAAAGAAATGTAACTGTAGCATTGGCTAGTGCTTGTATTGAACGAAGATAATGTGGTCCCAAGGCCAAGTTTTTAACTTCATACTTATCTGGGTAATTTGTAATCTGGTCTATCCTTTGCTATAGTGTTTTCATTTTATTGTGTTAAGTGGTTTGGTTTTAGTCAAAAGGAAATGTATTTTCAAAGTAGAATTCTCAAAGTTTCTAGTAAATGTGTACCCAAATATTAGTCAATTTGGGATAATTGTTTTCTTCCTACACATGTTTTGCTAGCTGTTTGGATCTAGACCATCTAATCAATATGCACATATGCCTGTCTTGGCTACCCATTAGTTGATGTCATCCTTCAGCAGTGTAGTCCATAGTGTATTCAGAGGCTCTCAGCAGTCGGTTTCTGGTAGTGTATCTTTTATTTGCCAGCCTCCTTCCTTTCATGCCACAAATTCCTACTCTCTCTATCCAGCTCTTTGCTTTATCCTGCAAAAACAATATGGCTTGCAGTCTTGTGTTGGTATTTGTTGGCTGTATATTTATTCTGGTAATAAATACCATCTGGTAACATTCTGTTAATTGGGCTGTACTTTTGTCCCCTCCTTCCAAAAGGGACCTCACTGTGTGGTGTTGGCAGGCCTGGAACTCACTTGAACTCACAGAGCGCTGACTACCTGCCTCTGCATCACATGTATGACCCCACTGAAGTCTACTTCTTAGTTGATAAAGCACAGATTGTCATCATACAGTAGAAATGCCATTGTCAGTCCTTGGAACCATTTCCCCCACTTCTAATCTGCTCATAGCTCTTCATCTTATCTTCCCGAACCATGTGTAATTTTCTTTCTCCAGCCTTTCTCCGAACTTTAACTTAGAATCCCAGTTCTGCTTTCCAGCACCCCCATATTCCAGTCATCTATCCCCAAGGTACAAAGCTCTATTGAGACATTTCTCTTTGTTCCTTGATCATGATATCCTTATTGCATAATATATTACTTCCCCTTCCCACATCTGACCAAAGCCTGAACCTTCACCAAGGAAGCTGAGCAAGTCACCGTGGTCATACTTAACCATTAAGACCTTCCTTATTAAGGAGAGGAAGACCTCCCCATCAGTGAACTTAGAGAGGGGCAGGAAGGAGATGAAGGAGAGGGTAGAATTGGGAGGGAACGAGAGAGGGGACTACAGCTGGAATACAAAGTAAATAAACTGTAATTAGTAGAAAAAAATCATTAAAAAAGACCTTATTATTATCCTATATTACTAAATCACATAGAAGCTAGATTGTTATATAGAAAGAATAAGATAGTTATTCTAATTAAATTATGTAATTTTGGCCTCCACATTGGCCTCATCACCAAATCTTTTATTTTATTAGTCTATCAAATGCTATAATGATAAGTTGTTCAAATGTTTAATATTATAAGGTATTTGAATCACAGCATGGAATTCTTGCTGAGCTATCATTACTAAACTCTTATTTATTGCTGTAAAGGGCTCACATTTTACTCTTAGAGGTGTTTTCAAATTCCTTGTTCAGTTACAGTATTCAGTATACTATGACCTAAGTGAGTACACCATTTGCCATTGTCTAAACAACTTATAGTAGTTCATAGCATTGCCAGATAAATTATACCTTCTTGAGATTGTGGTTAAAGTTCTACAGAATGGGCTTTAATGCCTCTTAAATTTGCAAATATGGAGCTGGAGAGATGGCTCAAAGGTTAAGAGCACTGGCTGCTCTTCCAAAGGTCATGAGTTCAATTCCTAGCAACCACATGGTGGCTCACAATCATCTAAAATGAAATCTGTTGCCCTCTTCTGGCATTCAGGTGTACATGCAAACACATTGTATATATAATAAATAAATCTTTTTAAAAATTTTGCAAATATGGTGATGTTATATTGCCTGTGTTGCATTTCATTGTCACAGGCTTTATGTCATCTATTTGTCTTGTCTGTACTTTTTCTAACCCTTAGGAATCGTTTACAGCAAACCATAATTTTGATAGTTTCCAGAATTTCCTTAGCTTATGTTCTCATCATCAATATTAGGTTTGTTTTTACTTCCTGGCTTGTCCTTTGAGAACAGGTGGCTCTGACCAGAACTAACTAGACAAAACACTGGTAAAGAGGCTGTACAGACCTGGGTTCATCTTCTCGTACACACAAAAGAAGGGGTATGTTTACAAACACCATCTTGCTAGCCTGGCATTTTGTCACATTCCTTTGGGAAAAAAATACATTACTGATAGAAGCTTTCATATTTTTCTTATGCTTTGATAATGTTCATAGGAGTTAAAATGTGACTATTGAAGAGGGTTTGTTTAAAAATTAGTCAATGATAATTTTTTCTAAGTTTTTTACTTATGTATTCAAAATTAACACAGAATAAAGATGGATGATTCTTACAGCACAGTAGCATTGTCTCTGTTAATATGCCCACATCTTAATTATGATCCTGTGGCCTATTTCTTAAGGTTTTCTTTGTCAGAATCCAAGCATTTGATCAGCCGACAAGCGATAAATGTGCCATTAATCTTTCTGAGACTGTAGCTCTGTGTGTGAAGATTTCTGACCAGTTACACTGTCTGTCTTTTAAACAAGCTTTTCACCTCGGTCTCTTATTTCATTAGCTGTCTGCCCAGGATCTGATAAGATGGAGTACCAGTGACTTTTTACAGCTTGCTTTATCTGTATGTATGAAGTGGATAAAGTCTTTAGCAAAATGAGCACAAAAGGGTACTTACCCACCCCTGTAATAAATGCACATACTAGTATCGACAGCGCTTGAGATTGCTAATGGAAGTCAACCTTAGAAAACAAGAAAATAAAACTGCTGCTTGAACTTTGCATTTGTTGGCATTTTGGTCTAAGACCAAAGCTTCGCTTTTCAGTAGATAAATTGCTGGGCCAGCAGGTGGGCTCAGTAGGTAAGTACCTTTACTCCACAAGCCCAGTGACCTACGTTCCAGATCCAGGACCAACTGTCCTGTGACTTTCACTAATCTTGCACACCTTCTTTCTCAATCTCTCTTTCTTTCTCTCTCTCACACACACATACACACATCATTACATACTCATAATAAAATTCATTTAACAGATACTTTTTGATTGCATTTGTACTTAGGAATAAAAAAAAAATTTAAGTATATTCATTAAACTCTTTTTGTTTAAAAAAGAGCACCGTGACTTGGACGTTTGTTTTAAAGTAGCATTCATTATCACTTATGTACTCACCAGTTTATTATTTTAAGATGGCAACCATTATATTTAATGTATGCATGCAGAGATTATTATTATTAAATCTAATTTACCTCTACTTAATTTTGATACTTTTAGAACTAGCAATTATGACCTATTATATAATGCTTTACAAATTATCCTTTATTTTGAAGAGTTGAATAATTAACGTCCAAGCTGTTTACAGCTTTGTTTCTTTGTTTGTTTGTTTTTTGAAACAATTTTTCTATGTGTAGCCTTGGTCATCCTGGAACTAGCATTGTAGACCATGCTAGCCTCAAACTCAGAAATTCACCTGTAAACTAAGAATGGCATTAGACACTGATGAGACTTGCATGAGATGCAATACAGGGTACTTAACACAGGCCCGTGCAGACATTGAGTCAGTGATTCTGTGATTGTATACCTATTGTGTTCATTGTTTTCATTTCTTGTGATACCTGGTCTGTGAGTTTGGAACATTTAATAAGCTGTGGTGAGTGAATTATGTGTACATTGTTTAGTTTTGGTCCAAATAGAAAATGCCAGTTATTGTTCCAGCAATGCCTTTAGATTAAAGCAGCCCTATCTGCCTCAATTTCAATAGTCATTCCTTACATTACATAAACACCTTGACCTAATAACTGAAACATGAGATCAGTATTTTAGCAATTTTCATATCATTTGGAGCATCTGAATATTTAAAATTAATATAGAAGAGTATGTGGATGGATATTTCCATTCACTTAATTTCTGAAGTCTTGTCTCAAAGAGAACTTTAATAATTTAAAATCGGTAATTCCGTCCCTCTCCTGTGGTAACACATTTGTTTGCCCTTTCCCTGTGCAGGCCTTGTTTGTATGAAGTCCAGCACATCTGTGGTGGAGCTCGTCATGCTGCTTTGCTCTCAGGTAAGAAGGCCATTCGCTTAGTCAGATCAAACTAGATGAGAATTTCTTATGCATGTCTAATGTTAATTATCTCAATTTTATCTCTCGCTGTGGAGATGCAGAAGGTAGTTTGAGGTACATTAGGGCCTAGATGACCATCCCATGGAAGCACCACTTTATTCTCCTCTCTCCTCCACTCTTTCTGGTCTCTGTCCTTTGACCTTTCATTGTTTTGTTCGGTCTGTGACTGGCTTTGTTCTGTGTTCTTAAGGTCTTTTGACGTTGTTCGTACCATCTTTTTAAAATGCTGCATCACACGTTACAATTTTAAAACATAACTAGTAGTTATTGCTGTTTTCTCCTCTGTCAGATTAGAAATGGTAGAAACTCAAGTCCTTTTATGCCAGTGTTAAATATGTGCGATCCAGCCATTGGTGAGTCATCTTTGACGGGCTGCTTTTTTATTTTTATGTAGAATTAGTATTAATAAGACTAAAAGTCTACTGAATGGTGGTTGTTTCATTGACAAGAATTAAAACTATATTAAATATTTTTTTTAATTATCAAAAGAAAACCTGGATCTATCCAAAGCTTGAAGAGAAGAACCATGTATTAGTCTTTTAGATAACTAAAATAGAAATTTAACGGGTTTTTGTTTCACCAGGACTTCAAGTCTCCCTGTTATCACATGAATATAAAATATTCCATAATATTAAAATGAAAAGGGAGTAGGTACATGTTTGTAATAAGAAGCTGTTATATTTATCCCTGATCTCCGCAGTAGGAGGGTGGAAACACCTGAGATCTGTAACTGTCCTGAGGTCCACCTAACGCCCCCATACCAACCCAAATTATCTGAGTACAACTTCAGTGGTCTTTAAACATCCCAGACCGAACAGCAAAAGCAAACCTATTGACTTTTCCCTGTTCTCCTCAGTAGAAGGGTAAATATGTCTAAAGCATAACCAGCCTGAGGTCCGCCGAAAATGCCACAGCCAATCCAGATAACCCGAGTGTGACTCTAGTGGTCTTTAAATATTCCAGAGCAAACAGCAAACACTTACCTTCAGATGTCCGGGTTTCAGGCTTACTTTCTTCAGGAGTATGTTAGTGGGAAAGCAGAACACAGTTGAGAGGAAAGCACAGAGAGCACCAGCCCTGGGAGGAGCTCATCTGCAGAGCTTGGGAAAATTGTACCCGCTGCTGAGGTCCTGAGTTCAAGGGAAAGGAAAGCTCTGTGGACATTTTAGGTTGAGGAGAATCCAGCTATATAGCAGCTTTTGTGGCAAGGCATAGTTCCGAATGCCTTCTTCCTTAGCCCTGGCTATCACTGCAGTTCTGAGAAATGAAGAGGAATGTTGCATTAGGATCTGGTGTCTTTGATGGCCTCTTTTTCTAATTGTAGGTTTAACATTACCCATTTGCTGGCTCCAGGAATTCCTGCCATTAGGGGCCCTAGAGATGAAACTTTGCCTCAGATATTGATTGGAAGGAAGAGTGGGAAATGTAAGCTCTCTCTGTAGTGCACTTTCCTCTGTGTGTCAGCAAGACAGCATGATAAACAGGCCTCTTAGATTGATTTTGAAATTGAATTTTAAAAATAATTCAGTGTTTGAACACTGAAAAATTTAAATGTTTCAAGTGGTTTATTGGTTAAATACCCCTTACATAAGTAACTTAAAATCTACACGTTAAAAACAACTGTTTTGTTATTTTCTGTTAATCTGTAATGTTACTTTCTACAAAGCATTTTTAAGAAAGCAAATGAATGAGTTCATTTTATCAACTGCAGTTGAGTAAGATAACCATTTTAGTATGAAACTGAGATTCTCAGTCCATCATTCCAGATCATTAGTTGGTCCACAGATGTTCTCAAACTTTGGTTTTGAGAGTACTAAGGAAGACGGAAACATTACAAAAGGTTCTAAAAATAATATGACATTTTCCATTGCTGCTAAAATTTGTCATGTTCACCAATTAGCAGGATGACCACAGAAGTGGCCCTCTGGTGAAAAAAGTTAACAGTGCTGTAGAAATAGCTTGTCCTAGCTCTCTGCAAAGCATGTTCTTTTCTGTAGGTCTTAATGCACTTCTTCCAATGGAGCTGTTCCCTGTAGAATTAGCACCAGTCTGTAGGCTGTCTTCCTGCCAAGGCAGGCAATCATGATGAATCTTTAAAACCGTGGACCTCAAAGCTCTTTTTGCTTTGTTTATCTGTCAGCCACCACAGATGAACAACAATGAATGAGACTAACAAAAGTATGAGTCCTTACGGTCTGGATACCTTATCTGCCATTTTTTTCCCCTCATTGAGAAAACAAAACAAAATATTATCTATGCTGTGATTTAATTTCTGCCAAAATAAGTTTTTAATGCAATTATTTTGTAGTCTGTTTTTATGAAATTTATTCATCCTCAAACTTAGACAAGACATTGAAAACTCAAATTGTGTTACGGAGAATGAGCATTGAAAAGAAAAGGAGGTGCATTTCATTTTGGGTGCCCTACAGTTCTCTTTGCTACAGCTCATTAGATGTTTTTCCTTTTACACTTTTCATTTCCTTGTTGGAAGTTCTGTGTTAAATACTTCATATTATTAAGGATATTTGATTTTTTTTTCTTTCTTATCTGAATTCCTGAAAAAAATTACTCTTGCCAAAAGTTTGTGTTTAAAATGTGCTCTAAATTCAGATGAGATCACATTACACATGTCTGAAGGTACTTGTCAAGGATAATTCAGTTCATATGGCACCCTCTAAACTCCAAGGGCATGGCGTCCAGTCTACCCCCTGTGGAATTTTACATTTCTTTAAAAACATAATTTAAGTTGCAAGAAGAAACTCCCATTCTCCAATGTGACTTGCTTATTGTTCCAAAAACACAGAACAATTTTTGTTCTATTTGGATACTTTTTCCCACGTATATCTTAAACTTTAATAACTGTTTACTCTTCACTCTTGATTTATATTAATAGAGTTAGAGCATCTTTTTAACAAAATGTTATCTTCTCATTTTGAAGTGAGGAATTGTGTAACATGGTCAGTCTGTGTTCTGTTTGGCAAAGGACCCCATGGTCAGTGTCTGGCACAGTATCCTCCTCGGCTATAGGTAGCATGGTGTCAGACTGTTTATTTCTGCAGTGCTGTGACTGGGGAGCTCCCCACCCCACACACTTACTTCCCTCTCAAGTTATCCTTGCTGTACTGCATTCTTTGATGAAGAGCAGATTGAGTTTTTCAAGCAAACTTTTTTAGGTACTATAATAGTTCCTAATTATTTCCAGATTTTCTTTTTAGGAAGTCGCCATGAGAAGAACTCTAAGAAAAAGTGAATGGTGCTATCCACTGGATTTCTTTAAGTCTCCATCAGTAAAGCTTAGCAGATGTACAGGCACTTTTCTTTACTTTATGTGTCAAGAGATATATTGAGAGACCTCATGTATCAGTATTTAAGTGCCTTCTGACTTAAAGCATTGATTAAGCAAATGACTGCTTCATAAATCATTCCTGGTCTCATTTTAAAAAGTTTAAAATATGTAAGTTAAAGTAATGACTTTTAGGATCCTTGTATGATGTGCTCAGCATGAATTATTTTGTGGTTTGTATGACTTTGTTCTTTCCTAAATACTTCATGTATTTAACTAAAAGTATTTTGTGACTAGTGTGGTCAGGGTGTGACTCTGAACTTTAAAAACAGCACTCACAAAGGAGCCACAACTGAGGAAAAGCCTTTTCCTTTCAAGTGATTTGGCCTTTGAACATTTAATTTTTTAAAACTTTTTCTTCAGTTTGGTACAGTTTAGTCAGATAGTATAAAAGAAAATGATTTTCTTCTAGATGTAATAAAGCCAAGATGAGGTTTTAAGGGAAAACTGAGGCTGAAACACAGAGACCTGATAAATGCCTTCATTCCTATGTACTCAGTACTGTAAGGACTATAGACTGTAATGAGATGATAAATATGGAAGAAGCAGACTTGGACCTTGCAGTTTCCTCCAGGTCTCTGGAAATACCATTAAGTCCTAATTTCTGTGATAAAATTCAATGTTTAGGCATCTATGGCCTTTTGTTAGTATTTTGGTGGTTTCTAAAGCTTTAGTGACATGCTTCTATTCCCCCAAGAGGTTAGGTTTATCTGTCTCATTGCAAATTATACATCTGAATCTGAAGGCAATGAGGAAGAATTAAAAAACCACATGACCTGAGATATTTTTTTATTAATATAATCAAGCAATATGTATTTGTGGCTCTGAAGACTGAATGGTCATGGAAGGCTGTATAGAAATAGACCCTGATGCTGGTTAGCTTTTCCTACAGTATTAGCAAAGGAGGAGACACAGCCCTTGGAAATAATCCAAACAGGTCTGTAGAACTTTTCATCTGTCCTCAGGCCTCAGGCCAACTTTGCTTATTGCACATGAAAATTAAATAACTAGATTGGTGAGATGGTTTCTGTGGGTTGTCACAGCCTGACAATCAGAGTTTGATCCCCATAACCCATTGTGAAATAAGAGAATCAAATCCCTACAACTGTTACCTCCTGAAAGAAAAAAGAAATGAAATGGGAGGACATGACTGTTCCTAGGTTTGATGGAGGAAAAGATTTACTGTAGATAAAGGGAAAAGCACAGTAGATATGAGGGGGAGCATATCCAGAGGCATTTGGAAGGGTCCAGGGTGAGCACTCACCTAGCTGGATCATGTGAGGAGAGGGGAAGAGGGAGAGAGAGAACAGAGAGAGGAAGAGACTGGACCCAGGAGCATCAGCCAAGAGGGCAAAAGTCCCAAACAGCCAAAAAAAAAAAAAAAAAGAACTGCATAGCCAAAATGGCTGGGTTACATAGGAAAGAGCAGCAGGGTGAGGGGTGGGAGATGGCAGCCCAGCTCAGGTCAGGAAGTACCAACCAGGAGAAGCCTGTAACTGGTAGGATCTAAGCAATGCTGGGAGAACCTGGAGGCCAGAGTCCACTCTGATGCGTTAATAGTCGCCTCAGTTAGTTTAGTCCTTTGTCCTGACTGAGA